TTGCAACAATTCATAAAATAAAAAAAAAGTTTGCTAATTTTAATATAGTCATACTTTTTTCCAATTTGCGATCCAATGGCAATTTACGATCATTAACGGTATCTGACGGTTAGCTAATTAAAAGAGCTATACACCTGGATCTCTAAGGCGCCATCTCTACAGCCGAAGCGCTTTCTAAGTAGATCGGTCCAACTTCAAAAGTTAAAGCACAAACTTAAGTCCACAAAGTATTAATTTAAACTCCTAAAGCACAAATTTAAATCAACCGCTTAAATAATAAAGCACTATTGAAAGTATTTTCAATTAAATATTCAAATTCAAATCCAATCTATAATGTATTGAAAGCTCCTAATTTTAACTCGTTTCTTAGTTGCGCTTATTAAAAAAGCGAATTGCCCTTAACTGACCCAACTTACATACTATGTACCTGGTGTGCATTTAATTTTATAGCGGCAAACTAGCAGCTTTAAACTTTTCGTAATTTTCTTTCAGCTGTCGACGAGCTTTTGCATACTGGAAGAAGGATATAGTAGTGCGCTGAAATTCTTCGTTGCTACTATAATTGTACTTGTGTAGATATGCCTCTGTAAAAGAAGGGAGAAATATAAAAATTTAATTAACAAAGTTGTAAATAAATGTTTAAAGTTTTAATTAAATTAAGTCACTAAAATTAAAGCTCATAAAGTCATATATAATCTTCAATCCCTTACCCCTTAGCGCATTTGTTACGCACAATGTGCGTATGGCTGTCTTCTCAGGCGTTCCATTCCAACAAAAATGTTGAGCGACATTATCGGTCATAATACGACGCCAAATTGATTTTATAAAAGAAACAGAATTGCTAAATTGATGTGTCGTTAATTCGTCAACCTGTGAAACAAAAATGAGTAAGAAAATATAAAAAGTAATTCATAACCGTAAATAGAACAAATGAAAAACACACTCTAACTAACCAAATTCGTATATAAATCTTTGGAATCCTTAAGTAATTCTTCGAATGTTTTAAAATCCGAAACCGTTTGGTATGGGTTTTTCGGCAGTACTTCCTTGCGCTTAGAATTTGTGACAAAATTTTGACCAATTTGACAATGAGTTTGGCTTGCGGTTGCTGCTGGAACGGATTTTAGGTCTTCATCTGTCACTTTTTTAAGAAAAATTTGCGTTTTTTGTTGTGCTGCAAATAGTATATTACGTTCAAGTTAGGAAGTTTTAAATAATGAAGTTATTAAAAACAAATAAGCACACACCTTTGAGAAGGGAATTGTGTGTATCTCTTATCAATTCTTTGAGTTCGGCAATATCTACATAGATATGTAAAGAAATCATAAATGAGAAAATTATAAAAATAAAAACCAATTAACCTCGTTTAGTGGCAGTCTCATCCAACCCCATTTGACAACCGGAAGTTGTGTTTGAGTTCGTCTAAAATATAAAAAGAAAAAAATTTTAAAGTTCAGGGAAGGACCATCATATTCTAATTTATATAATACATCGAATTTTCATATATTTTACTTAATGTACATTAAGGTGGTCCAAAATAAGTAAAGTCGAAATTTTAATGCTCTCATCCTCTAAGATTGTTCTATATCGAAAAATATATACCCCTATTTTCATTTCAAAATCCAAAAAATATTTAGAGGTCGCTCAAAGCGCCCAAAGTTTTCCATGTATTTTATATGGGGAAAAAACAACTTTTCATAGAAATGCTATGGGGGAAATAAATAAGGGGGCAACATTTTCACAAGTTGTGGATACTTTTTCCTTTCTTTATTTAATGCTTATTATTCTTTTTATAAAAGTTTAGCTCATTATCTAAAAACTCAGGCAAGTCCAAGTTTCAAACTATGCGCCAAAATTAGGAAAACTAACAAAATTGCAAACTTTTTGATCAGAATTCTTAGAAAAAATTTGGTATTTAGTTTTTTCTATACCAAGTATGCTTGTTTTTTTTTATATGGGAAAAAATGCGTAACATCGTCAGCAAAAAAAATTATCAAAAATCAACGGGATTTTTTAGCAACTTAACACTTGCACTTTATTTAATGGGCTACAAAAAACTGCATATAATTTTTTTTTTTTTTTTTTTTAATTAAAAAGTTTGAAATTTTTATGGATTTTACTTATTTTGGTACAAAGTTTGGAATTTGGACTTACATGGTTTTAGTTAATGAGCTATACCTTTATAAAAAAAATAATAATAAACATTGAATGAAAAAAAAAGAATAGCCTTAACTTGTTAAAATGTCGAGTGCCTATTTATTTTTCCGCCACTGTACATACCCAGTGGGGAAAATGTAATGTATAGTAATCGAAAAAATATTCAGTAAAACAGCCCTGTTTACATTCGACAATGCATTTTTCCTCAACGGCGATGTCCTAGGAAAAGTGGGACATTCATTTTTGCATTATAGTAATGCAAGAATGGCAGTGATTTAATATGAATTTTCTGGGACTTTTTGGATACAGTAGAATGCTAATTACTTGGTTAACAACAGAGGTCGAAAATATCCCTCTCCACTTTGACAGTGTCCCAAAATAACCCTCACTATTTAAGAGAAAAAATAACACAAAAAAACAAGTCAGGTGGTGTATTTTTTGTAGATTTGTGCTCCTCTTAGTGGGAAAGGGTTATTTGCATATCTTTTTCCGTTGCTGTTGGACACGGGACACTTATCGCTGGAAGTGGAAAAATAATCAAATTTGCTGTTGATAGAGAGATATAAGCAACGTCAACGTCACGGTCATGCGGTGACCTTCGATATCCAATATGAATGTCGAACTGAGAACGAACTCATAACCAACCTTAGTTTTCCAACGTGCATAGCGTATTGGAAATACATTCGAGATGGATTCGAAATAAAAATGGAAACTATAGTAACAAGAAAGGAAGTTAAATCCAGCTCATTTTCGAATGGAAATATAAATAATACAATCAGTCTCTCTCATTAAAATTTCAATTCGATAATGGGCCGGATTTCGAATTCATAATGAAGGAAAAATTCATTTGATAACGAAGGTTCGGTTTTGCTGGAGAATGGCCTAGTTCTCGAATAGAATACTAACCTATTCCACATTCGTTATCGAAGGTGAGACTTGAAAAAAATTTTAGTTTTCCAATCATTTTCGAATTGTTAACCAAGCCCAATGTTTATTGCGATATTATGAATGTGCACGCTCTCTTCTTTATCATAAATGTTCGCACATGTATGTGTAACTATATGTCGTGTAAAGAAATGTCTTACGCTTTGCTTCCACTTCCTGTACGCCCACTTATATTTTTCAGTCTTACAATAACCCACAAATTAAGACACTTAAATATAAAAGTGCCTGCCAAAGTGTCTTTGCCTAAAGGAAATTTTAGCAGTTGATAAATAACCCACAACGGAAAACACAAAAAGATCGCACATAGAGATATGCCACGGTGAGCAACACTCTTTGCTTGAGAGATGAGTGTTTGTGTCAGTGGTAAACACCATACAAGACACTTGGTGACGGTTATTTTCGATCTCTGGTTAACAGTAATAGAATCGAGAACTCATAAGAAATACATTACAATATTTATCGCGCATGTAATGCATTACTACTTTTCCCGCTGGGTATGTACATATGTATACAGTATAAAAATTAAAATATAAAGACAAACCAAAAATGGCAAGTTAACATTTGTTTCAAGAAAATGGGCACAGTTACTCCTTCAATAAAATTATGCATTCAAATGACCTTATTCATAAAAAATAGTTTTAAAGAGCTATATACAGGCCTATTCTGCTTGTAACCGAACATTTTGTAACAAGCTAATTTTGTTACCAACAATTGTCACCAACCGCTTCTTGCAACCGCAATTCTATTTACCTTGGTAACGTTTTAATCTATTCAGCAATTTAGCTATGGTGTTTTGTTGAAATTCTGGTGTTGCATATTTCACAGGGCAATATTTTGTTACCTGCTCATGAGATGGTAACAAAATTTACCGGTTACAAGAGTATGGAGAATACGAAAAGGGTTTAAAAATTGACAGTAACTTTACTAACCGGTAACAAAATTTTTGTTACCAAAGCAGAATAGGCCTGATAGTGTGTATATTCATACAAATTTTCGATTTATAAATCAGTTAAAGTCTTCTTTATTTTTTTATGAATTTGGGCGAAAGTCTGCAGACAAAGTCCGCTTCAAATTAAATCTTCAACTGTTCTTATCACACTCACTTTGAATGTTACTATTTTTATGTGCACACAATTTAAAAAAAAAAAAAATTAATTTTTCTACGCCATAAACATTTATTTATTTGCCTTAGTAAATCGTCTTGACTTTGCTTAAAAATGCGATTTTTATGAAGCCTTAAGGAGTTTCGCATATCTGTGACATAGTCCCTTTCTGTGTAGCCATCTTGCTTAACAGCATCTGAAAGAGGAGAAATGGAAGTCAGTATGGCAAAAATATTATGGCTAGTAATTTAAGTAGTTTTAACCAAAAATCGCCGCATTCAAAGCTTTATAATCGCGAAAACATTGCATGCCATTGATGCCATCATAATTGAAAGCCGCAAGTATATTTGGTTCCAAAATTTTAGCCAAATTTCTGAACAGCCCATTTGAGCCCGGTAAACTTTTCAAAGTTGGCAACTAATAAAAGATGAATCATAAGAAACTCTGAACCAACCAGTGTATTTAAGACATAATAAGCTCACATGCGGCTTTGCTTGAATTGTTAAATTATAATCGGCAGCACGCAAATCTGCTTCATTTGCAATTGGAAAGCTTATCATATTCGTTTCAGAAGCATGCCTAATCAGTGCCAGCAGTTCGTGCTGATGCGTGAGAACTCGATCGATTTTTGCGCTCAATTCTGGTAGCGAAAAAAATACGCATTACGATAAGTAGATAATCAATTAGGATGCCTTCTTTACCATCCATATGAATCGCACGTTGTCTTCGATAGCGCTTGAATTCTACGCATTCCACCAATTCTTGCTGGGAGTCTCTATTCAGATCTTGTAACGTATCCATTCTAGTATGAGTGTACCTAAAATTTTAGAATTTTTCGCTAATTCCGAAGTCGACAAAAATGCAAAATAGTTTAAGCGATTATTTACGGTTTATAAACTTCGTTGCAGGCTGGTAGCTGTTTAGTGCGATAATCAGCGGTAAGCGTTTACAGAAGCCAACTTTTTTTTATTCAAAAATTTATTTTACAGCTGTAGGAAAAATGTTTAGTTTGTAAATAAAAAAAAAATATATATCTTTTTAACTTACCTTTGTTGCACTTGAATTTTTTATATTATTCACAATAAAATAATAAATATTTACGAAAATACAAAATATGATGAAGGGAAAAACTTTAACACATAAATTTGAATGTGAATATGACAAGAAGCGATTTTATAGAAAAAAAAAACATGTTTATAAGTACACTTAATAAAACCATTAAATGGTTTACAAAAACGCCATTTTTTTTATTAAAATAAAAATATAATATAAAAATTAAAATTTGCATGCATCGCTTTTTAAATGCTTTAGTTGAAGCGCTCACCAAGGGCTTATTTGGGGCAGCAAGGGAGCGCTTCTTACTAATGACACACAATGTTAAAATACAACGAAGTATGAAATTAGGAAGGGAGCGCTTACTGCTGAATATATGGAGCGCTCCAATAGAACTAATGGAGCGCTTCTGGCCCCGTTTGGGGTGTTCCAATATTTTGCATTTGATATACTGACTAAGTCTGAGATATTTTTGAAACAAAAAACTTTAATGCAAATCTCACACAAAAAACCTATCTAGATTTTGACATTTCTATTTTTTAACTTAAGAGTCTATCGATCTAAAACTTTAAGCAAGCTTATTTTATACGATGGCGCACAATGGTACGTCCACATATAAGCTGCGGCCTCCAGTAGTAATCGTACTAGAAATGCGCTGAAATTTCGTATATGCGCTATTCGGTACTTTGGAATGAAGAAACGTGGAAAATGGTAAAATTCAAAACGCTAACACCACGCCCACAGTTCTTGGGGGCGGAAATTCTAAATGTTATTTTTTTATGAAATTCAGAGCTTATGCTGGTTGTAACGAGAAAAGCATAAACCTGAAAGAACGTCAAAGTCGTTTTACATTATCGTCCACTAATTCTAGAAAAATAGGTGCATATCAAAAAAAAAAAAAAACGTATTTTTTGATGAAATTCGGTGAAATTCCAACTCGTTTAAGCCAAAATTTTTCAACTTGGAAGATAACGAAGAGTTTCTTATTATTATGCCCACCTCCTACACAACTTTTTTGGCTCCAAGTACTAAATTTTATGCATTTTGGAGAAAATGAACAGACACATTATTTATCATAATTCTAAAGAAGTTCCTATTTCTTCCTTTAAAAAATAACAGATCGAAAAAATTTACAATATCTGCATACTAAATTATGTGCTTGACATGTATTTGCACTGAAACTTTGAATTTTACCTACATTTTTTACAACAAAAGTTGAGCAAAGGCAAGCACCTCTCTTCCTATCGAAAACGCATCTCGTACGGAGAAGCGTCCATTTGCGCCTGAATGTTGAATAAGATCAATAGATTGGCTAGTTATTCATATCTACACCTTCTTTAATTTCCATTTTATATTGCATACTATTTATTTTATGTACATATGTATCAGTCTTTCCCTTCAGCTCTGCAATAAAAATTCAATAAATTTCATAGGAGGTGTGTGTATAAAAAGAAGAATAGAAGCCGAACTCGCATTTCCTCGCAACTGGAACTATTTGAGGTATGATACGTCTATTTAATGTTTACTTGTCCTAAGTATAATTTAGCTCGCTTCTTAAGTCCTTTTTAAAACCCCTTTTTTAATGTAAGCACTCGAAAAATTTTATACTCACAAAGTTATGTGGAATTCCAAGAGAAACTGACATTTCAAGGGATTTATAAAAATGTATAGCAATGCTTGACCACAGATATGTTAAAAAACTGCTTTTTATATATCCACACAAGTGGAAAAATTAATTCAAAATTGTTTCGTATTGTACCTACTTAAAGCTCGTCTCATGACTGCAAATATGCATTTTTACCCATAATTCTTAGTTGGACATTCTGCTATGAATCTGCATAATTACTTTTTCTGAATTCGCTAATACGTTTTTAATACTTTTGGCCGCTGTAGTCCCATTGTGTGGCGTAGCCAAAGGGGAAATTGATCACCTCCCGTCCCGCCCCTTTGCCCTGAACTACTAGTTTTTACTTTGGATCTTTTAACACAATACCATTTCATCCTTCTGATTTATATTTTTTGTTATCACTAATGACAAAACACCTTTTTATAAATATTTGAGATTATCGGCTGTTGGATTACACTGGTCGATAGCAAACAAAAAGCAAGCACACTATTTGTATTTCTCGTTTCTGATTTCGGATATATGTACCATTAGTTTTTTTCAGATTGGTTTTGCAAAATTTCCTGTTAATCAAATTCGGAAACCTTTGTTTTCCATCACCATGAGAAACAATTTTATTGTGCAAACGAATAAGAATGCTCTGGTTTAGAATACATACTCTTACTTACGCTAATGTATTTTTGGTAAAAATTTTCCATTTTGCAAAATAATAAATTTGTCGAAAGCTGAACGCTTTTTATGACATTACTACACTGGGCAACAAAATTTAGCGGGACAGCTTTCGAAAACAAGTTTTAAAGTCTTATGTTTGAGGAATCGAGCTTCTTCAAAAGATTATATTTCACGGCTATATCTTTTTACAGCCGTTCCAACAGCCAATTATTGCTTGCCTTTAGGCATTTTTTTTAATTTCCTCAGAAGTGTCAGCAGTGGGGGTGAAAATAAATGCCAAATCTTTTTTTCTTCATTTAGTACTTGATTTATTATAAATTATCTCATTTCTCTTTAATTTATTGGCAGATTTTACAAGGCGAAATTACTTGATTTCAGCATGATTTGCTTATAACTTACAAATGAACCGTAAATTACGATAATGTTTCTTAGGTGGCTGTTTTTAAAGCCTTGGATACGTTAAAATAAAAGAAGTTTGTGAACACTTATTTTTATACTAAACTATAATTTTAGCATAGAGTATGATTTTTTATGTGAGCATTGAAAAAAACGTAAAAATTTGCTTAATACTTGCAAGTTCATTTATGTTTAAAAAAACTTTCTCTAGAGAAGGTATTCTCTTGAAAACATCATGGAAATGGATATTGTGAAATAACTTTAAAATTTGAGGTGATGACAAACCCCAAAATATGTCTGTGTTAAAATACTTCCGATTATCTTTTATTTGACACCGATATTGTCACATTTTTTTAATTTAACAGGTAGTGTAGTGTATCGTATTCATTTCTTGTGACCATACTTTAGGCTATAATTTCGGTACCGGAAGAGGTATCGAAATGAGTTTTAGTTTCAAATATGCCCTTTCCAAAGCAGATTAATATGCTTGCCATTTGAAAACAATTGGTCACGGTTTATAAGAGATACGATACTGTGCGGCGCTGGAAAATATTGCTTTCAGAATTTCAGCAGTCACAAATGCTGCAAAATTCGCAATAATTCACAAACAAGAACCATCTGAAAAATTGAACATGCGAAAATACCAAGCTTTCGAGCTATGCACACATTGGTTCTGGTAGTATAAAAATATACAAGTGTTTTCTATGTGTGCGTATCAGACCGAAGTCATACCCCAATTTTTTAGTCTGAAATTGCTGTGGCAAAATTCTAGTCCCTTCTGAAAATACTAGTGTGGGCACGTTAATTTATTTAAGCGGATCATATATTTCCTTTATAAAATTTATCCAGTGTCTACAGCTGGCATAGTCAAAAATTGAACTGCTACCCTGTACCAGCAGTTAAAACTTGTCAAATTTTAATTTAAATATATATGTAGTCCGAAATCCACTGATTTTATATATGTATGTGTGTATAAAGATTACAAATGAGCTTCAAAATGCGTTTCAAGTTGCAATAAAATATATTTGATATGCACATTTTTTTATTAATTAAAGAAGAAGCTTTAGCTTCTTTTTAATGTATGTATGCATTTTGTGTTTAATTATTGTTTTGAAATTTGTATTTATATATGTATGTATATTTTTATGGTTTACATGTTTGTCAATAGTTGCCCTGAGCGTAACCGAAATATATCGGAAAAAAATTTAAATCCTGTGTTTTAATTCAAAAATTTCCTCAAACCATTTGACCTCGAGCCGGCAGAATTAACAATTAAACTTTAGAAGAACTTTTCGGAAAAGCCTTCTGAAGTACGTCCCACAAAAGCCCTTCGATTTGTGACACTCCATACAAAAAAGAAAGGAGTGCAGAGTGGAAGGCCCTTTCGAAGAGTTTTTAGCTCCTGAAGCTATAAGACTGACAAAATTATGCCAGAAATAAAAGAAAATAGTTTTATGTACTTACATTAGCAGCGCGCCATTCTTCCACTAAGCCACGAAAGCGTATACGTGCACCGATATCAAATCCAAATATATCCTTTATATCCATATCACTTATAGATTTTAAGCAATCCAAATCAATATTCAGCTCTTCCAATTTAAAAAAATGATGTCGTAGTTTATATTTAGTCAAAAGTTGTAAAAATTCGTTCTCATCTGTTATAAATAGAAAGAGGTACGCACAATTATTTTTAGTAAAAAAAAACTATCTATTAATTCCTAGGTTTTATTGATTACCTAGCACTTCTACAACTGCATACCTTGTGCCTTTCCCGTTTCTACATTTAAAGCATGGTAGGCTTCATCATCTTCATCTTCATTGTGTCCAATATCCGAATCGAATTCTCCATTAACCAAATGTGACAAGTCATAGTAGCTGCCATCGGTGCTATTCATATCAAGCGTGTCGTTGTTTAATACCCTTTCCTCCAATTGAATATGCTCTTCGCTGATCACCTGTTGTGTAGATTTTAATTTTTTAATGGCGCAATGTTCATCTGCGCTCACACTGCCAAATCTTTTACGCAGTTCTGTTGCATTGGTCAGTGTACGAATTTCGTTGAAGGTAGTGGCTGGTATATCAGTAATTTCAAGTGTGGGCTCCTTTTTTATTTGAGGCAATAGCGTTGAAGGAGAGCGCAGCAGTAAAAGGCTGCTGTCTGTCTTTTCGACATCTTCTTGTGAGGCTTGCAAATTTTTTGGAAGATCATCTTTTTCCGCAGGTGTAATAGTATCGCCAGCAGTGGTTCTCGAGCTGGCTCGGAGTGACATACTCTGAAAATATTGAAAGGAAAATATGAATTTATAACTGAGAATATATGTATGTATGTACGTATTTTAAAGGAGGATTTATTTATTTATTTTCAAATTATTTGGTCTCGAAAATGTCAAATATTTTTAATTTTTTCTCACAAAAATTCTGAATTGTTAAAATCCATTTGCATGTGAAACCTTTTTCCATACAAAACAAGCGATTGAATAGCAGCTTTTGGAACGTTCGCCCAACTCAGCAGCAAAACCGCTGATTACTGGCCCTTGTAAAGGATGGATCAATGCTTCGAGAAGCAAACAAATTTACTAGGAAAGAAAGTTGCAACAATTTTTTTTTTTTCCAATTTCAATTCTTTATTTTTTATAATTTTTTGTATTTCACATGGCACGCTTTGATTTAGAAGAAAAAATTCAGAACAGTTTTTGACACTTTCGATACCAGAAGCAACAACAAAATACACGCAAATGTTGTTTTTGCTCTACTGATACTACCTGTTTAATGTGCCTTGTCTAGAAATTATAATTAAAAAAATCGAAATTTTTATGAAACTTTGTTTATTTTTTATTTTTGTAGTCTGAAATTTTATATGTAACAAAAATAAATTTTGTTTCTACGTTATATGGAAGAAAATTCTCAAGACCTTTTATTTATGTGGTTTCTGTTATGGATCGAACTATATTTTAAATCTAAACTTTTTTAAAATAAATAAATAAACAATAACATTTTGAGTTTTGCACCTATTATTTTGTCCATGAGAGGTATATGTATGTACATATACAGCGGGCGTCAAAAATAAGTATACTCTGATACTCTGACGTATTGACGAATTTTCCACTTTTCAATTTGATTTCTTAGAAATATTTGGAGAAACATTTTTTAATATAATAAAGTGGAAGTCTCAAGTCGCTAAAAATTTCCGTTGATTTTTGAGAATTTTTTTTTTTTACCGAGGGTCAGAATTTCGAAGAAAATATCTTGCATTTTC